GCGCCTGTAGTCCCAGCTACTTGGGAGGTGGAGGCAGGAGACTCGCTTGAGCCCAGGAGTTGGAGGTTGCTGTGAGTGTGATGCCCTGGCACTCTACCCAGGGGGATAGCTTGAGGCTCCGTCTCAAAAAAAAAAGAGAGTCATAGACTCCCAGGGGATTGGGGGTGGGTGTCCATTCTGTACCTTCTCCTCTGCATTTGTCATGGTCTGTGCCGGTCACCCCCAAAAGGAGATGCTTAACTGTTGACATGTCTGTTCTTGAAGTTAGCTATGACCTTGAGCAGTAAGTTTTAATTTTTCTCATTCATAAAATGGATATATTACCTACCTCACAATTCTCATGAAAATAAAAATGAAATAATGCATGTGAAGAGAGCTTAGCAGAATGATCAGGATGTAACAAAATGTTAACTGTTGGTAGATTTTGCTTTATTTGGGGCTGAAACTGTTTGATTCTGGATCCTATCCATTTGGCTCTGCTCTGTGACAGTAAGACAAAGCTAACCTGTTTTCTATGACACAGCATGTAAAGATTATTATGACTCAGGTAGCTCTCTGATGTTTGAAGACAGTTTCATCTCTCTAGGCAATAATCTCCAGTTCCTTCAACAGTTACTCAGATGACGTGGTTTGAGTCCCCTCACCATTTAAAGTGTTTTCCTTTGAGTACATTGCAGTTTTTCTAAATTATTAAACTGTGAAGCCCTGAACTGAGTGTAATACCTCAAGTGTAGTCTGGTCTGTTTGAGGTAAAGCAGAACCCTTCCTTGTTCTAAATGTTTCTTCAATTAGTAACTCTGGTGTTGTCTTGTGCTGTTGACTTAAAGATCAGAATCAACATGGGAATTTCAGTATAGAGCAATTTCTGTGGCACTGTGCAAATAATTACTTAATGGGATTGACATGACTATATATATTTTCTATGCTTTGGTACTTGATGGGTGTAGCCTGGTAAGGCTAGGATAAAAAATGGTAGTAATTTTGCTTTAGAAATAGAACTGCAGTAGTATTATAGATTTTTTTCTTCTTAAAATGCATTTGAAATATGATGTTCATTATAACATGGACTTTGAAAGGTAAAGGGAAAAAACTCTTGTGGTATTTGTTTTGGGTTTTCCCTCTTTTTTAAAAAAGAAATTTATAGATAGCAAATGCATCCTTTTTGGCATACAGTTTGGCAAATGTATCCACTAACAAAATCAAAATACAGAATAATTTCATCACTGTCAGAAATTCCCCCTCCCTTATTCCTTTGTAGTCCTTTGGGTTTTTATGAAAGGTGAAATTCTAGTAGATAAGAATGTTGAGGGCTGGGCACAGTGGCTCACACCTGTAATCCTAGCACTCTGGGAGGCCAAAGTGGGTGGATCGCCTGAGCTCACAGGTGCGAGACCAGCCTGAGCCAGAGTGAGACCTTGTCTCTAAAAATAGCCAGGTGTTGTGGTGGGCACTTATAGTCCCAGCTATTTGGAAGGCTGAGGCAAGAGAATCACTTGAGCCTAAGAGTTTGAGGTTACTGTGAGATATGACACCATGCACTCTACCCAGGGCTACACAGTGAGACTGTCTCCAAAAAGAAAGAATGTGGAGAATAGTGAGCAATATACCGTTTGAAAAAGGTCCTATTGATGTTTGTGTTTAGTGGGATAACGTGACTTTTTTCTGTGCCAGAAATCTATAGACTTGCTGTAGTCATCTCGTCCCCTGCAAAGAGTCAGCTTCTATAATAGTAAAACTTCATGATTGGTTAGTGACCATTTTCTTCAACTTTTTTCCCCTTTCTGGTTCAGTGTGAACAAGTTGCTAATGAAAAATCACGTTTTTCTTTAGTTTTAGTATCATAGTTAACTTCATTTCTTTCTTTCTTTCTTTCTTTTTTTTTTTTTTTTTTTGAGACAGAGCCTCAAGCTGTCGCCCTGGGTAGAGTGCTATGGTATCACAGCTCACAGCATCCTCAAACTCTTGGGCTTAAGCGATTCTCTTGTCTCAGCCTCCCAAGTAGTTGGGACCACAGGTGCCCGGCACAACGCCCAGCTATTTTTTGGTTGCAGTTGTCATTGTTGCTTAGCAGGCCTGGGCCGGGTTCAAAACTACCACCCTAGGTGTATGTGGCCAGTGCCCTGCCGACTGAGCTATGGGCGCTGCCAGCTTTATTTCTTTAAAAATTATTTTATCAGTCCCTTTCTGCCTCACCTTGGTTCAAAAAATTTCAAATAAAGAACTCTTAGGGAAAATAAGAAAATAATGTCCTCTGTTGGTAATTATATTCATGTAAAAAAGGGAGAGAATTCCACTTCCTTCACATAAGACATTAAGAGGTCATATTGCTATGTTTACAATGTTTGTTTTGCCTGACACATGTAGTGTAGTCTGTTTTTTCCCTTCTTCTCTGACCTTTTTTTTTTTTTTTTTTTTGCCTGTAGCTGACCCCGTAGTGCCCTGCAATGAAACCCGATGGAGCCAGAAGTGGCAGTCATCTCGTCCCCTGCGAAGAGCCAGTCTCTCCCTGGGCTCTGGCTTCTGGCATGCTACTGGAAGACATTCAAGTAGACGGTTGCTGAGAGCCATTCCTCGCCAGGTTGCACAAACGCTGCAAGCAGACGTGCTTTGGCAGATGGGATACACAGGTGTGTGCTGTTAACTGGCAACAGTGCAAGTCTGGGGTTCGGGACCTCCGTAAGTCTTGGGAGCACCTGCCCTAAAGCCCTGCACTAACATGCTTGTCCTCCTATTTGCTGAGTGGGACACAGTCCAGTCGTTTAGCCTTGGTCTGTTGTGCCTGCTGTGCCAGGCATCTGTTGGTAATTGTCACCACTTGTATCTTACTTTTGTTACCATTTCAGAGATTAGAAAGGGTAGATTGTTATCATTTCTCTCTATTGTACACAAGAAATACAGTACTACTTCACAGCCTGGGCTGGCTGGCAGTCTCAGAGAGGTCTGTAATTTCTCAGAGAAAGAGATTGAATTCAGAGATGGTCGCTTTGATTTGGGCAGTTTCATGAGAATTAGTTGATCACTTGAGTTTGGCGTCCTGTAGGCAGAGTGACCAAGTGACTGTCACATATGCTGATCATTTGTTTCAGGACAGGAAACAATACTGAGGACCATGACCTATGAAATCAAACTCATAACCAATAAGATTTTTTTCCCTTGCTGATTCATTGTGGCAGAACATTCTGGTTTTAAATAATATGAAGACTTTTGACCCTGAGTGTTAAATGTAAGCCAGTTTTGCTTGCCTCCAGGACATCACAGTTTGTCTAGGTACTTTTTCCCACACCTCCTACTAGAGACCCTTCTCAAATTTTCGCTTCCTGCCAACTTTTAACTCCTGGTAGACTGACATTTTATTAAAAACGTTTGTCTCTTGGTTTTATCTTTTAGAATGAGAACTTTTTTTTTTTTGCAGTTTTTGGCTGGAGCTGGATTTTAACCCACCACCTCTCGCAGCCAGCGAGAGGTATGGGGCCAGCGCCCTACTCCTTTGAGCCACAGGCACTGCCCAGAATGAGAACTTCTTTTTTTCTTCTTCTTCTTCTTTTTTTTTTAAGAGATAGAATCTCACTTTGTCACCCTCGGTAGAGTGCCGTGGCATCACAGCTCAACAGCAACCTCCAGCTCTTAGGCTTAGGTGATTCTCTTGCCTCAGCCTCCTGAGCAGCTGGGACTACAGGTGCCCACCACAGCACCCAGCTATTTTTTGATGTTGTTGCTGCAGTTTGGCTGGGGCTGGGTTTGAACCCTTTATTCTCGGTATATGGGGCTAGTGCCCTACTCACTGAGCCACAAGCACTGCCCAGAATAACTTCTTTAGAAAACAGATTCTCTGGTCATCAGAAAACTATTCCCCCAAACCAAACTGTCTCCAGTTTTATTTGTGTATTTTTAAAAAGTAGCAATAATTTTGGTAGTTATCACTGCGTATTGATTATTTAACATAGTGTTTATTGGTAAACAACTCTCACATCAGAAAGACATCCTTTTTACATTCGTGAGCTGTTAAAATAATACAGGTATCTTGTATTTTTTCTAGATGTGTTCTAGAATATCTTACAGGTCAATCATTTCACATGGTACAGATGGCTTTTGGCCATCCAAAATAGACTCATCATTATAGAAAAGGGTATACTATCATGATTGTCCTTGAAATGGGGTCAACCCCATGTGTTGTTAATAATCCTTCTTTGCAGAGTCTATTGTCATTTATGAGTAGCACTGAGTAAATTGCTGTCCTTGTCAGGAGTAGGAATAGTTCTGCCTGCTTTCCCCCACTTGCCCTGCTCTGTTCCTTAGGTTTATGCTTTGTGGGTGCTTGGAAGGCCTCTGAGTAGATGGGGGGATGGAGCCATGTCGTAAATCACCAGGAGAAGATGAGATAGAGACGGCAGCCCACAGCCTGGAGGACACTATAGGAATGGGGAGGGCTGTTCCACCCCTGAATATGGGTGACAGTTGAGGAGGGTCCAGAGAGATCTGTTCATCCTCAAATCTGGTTCAGCAGCAAATGGTGGCATTTCTCCTGTTCTCTTCTTTTCTTGATCTTGGCTCAGCCAGCTAACTCCCCAAGCATCTGACCTAACTCACTGCATTCTGGGCAGACTTTGGCATGCTACGTCACTTTCTGTGGGTTCAGGAGGGAGTGTATTCTACTGGCAAAAATCCAAAAAAGATGATTTCTCCAAACACGATTGTACTTTCTTCTTGGAATAAGGTGCTAATGTGAGAGTTGCTGTTTTTGACACTGGGCTGAGTGAGAAGCATCCCCACTTCAAAAATGTGAAGGAGAGAACCAACTGGACCAATGAGCGGACTCTAGATGATGGTAGGTCTCTGTAACGCAGTGACTTCCCTGCCATCCTCTTTCAGGTCTGTTTGTCCAAGGGCTAATGACTACACAGTCCATGTCCAGCAGTTATTGGACAGTAACCCAGTTACTGTGCCTTTCATTATAGTAGAAGCTTTTCTGAAAATCTCAGGCAGTGTCAGAAAATAAAGGTTGGTGGTGGAGAGGGGTGTGGGGAGGATGCCTAGTGAAGGAGCAACTCTTCTAGAGCAGAGAGGCTGTAACTAGACTTCATGTGGTGCTTATGCCGGCTGAGTTCTGAGTGGGGTGGCCCCAGGGATCCTCCCTCTAGGACTCAGAGGATGGAGTCTGTATGGAGGTGATGGTTGGAGCGTTGCATTGTGGCCTGCGTTATCAACTGTGTTTAATGGGATCTTTTCTTTCCTCTAATGGTCTGCAGGGTTGGGCCATGGCACATTTGTGGCAGGTGTGATAGCCAGTATGAGGGAATGCCAAGGATTTGCTCCAGATGCAGAACTTCATATTTTCAGGGTCTTTACCAATAGTCAGGTAGGTGTTTTGAGGAGTTCTGAGTCTTTTAAGGAATTGATAGTGAAATGTAAAAAGTCACACTTGATTGTTCACATCCAGGTAAGAGCAGCACCCATCAGTGATACTGAGTCACTCTCAGGCTGCGTGGGCTGCACTGTCTCTCCACCGTCCCTTCTGCTCTTCTTCTGCCACTCCCTTTACTGCCCCTAACTCGAACCCTGAGGCCACCACGGACAGTGATTCTTTGACCTCCTGTTTCTGCTCCATCTGCAGGCTTTCCCAGGCCTCTGGGTCTCCATGATAGAATAGTTGCATGTTTATGTGTTGGCCTCCCCGTTTGTTCTCCTGCTGCCGTGAGGGTGGGGACAGCTTTACTTACCTCTGCATCCCAGCACCTAGCAGTGTTTCTAATTAGCAAGCTTTGTTCCCTCACCCTTCATTTGGAAACTACAGAAAAGGAAGAGGATCCTAGTATTTGTTCTCTTTCTTTAATTTAGTTTTTGAATAGGTAATACATAGTTCAAAATCCTGGAAGGCAGTGCAGTGGTAAGTCTCCAACCCTGACCCCTTCCAGCAGGTGCTTACCTCACTTCCCCTGGTCTCTCATGTGATACTGTTCTTAATTTCTTACAGACCTCCTCCTAGAATTTCTTTTGCATGTGTAACCATTATAAATATGTGATCTTTTAAAGGGCTTTAAAAACATAATTCTTAATCATTACATTGCCTCTCTTCCCCCTATAAACTTAATCTTGCATTTAGCAAAAATACTAACACTGAGGTGACTTTTGTAAGGAAAGCAGGAAGAGGGGGACATCAGAGAACTAATGTTAACAGATAACTGTCACTGCTGCCATTTATTCTTCAGTCTGTTTAGGAATGAAGATTATTAGACAAAAACATAGTATTTAGAGGTGCTTAACTTATTAGCCGTGTCTTAGGATACATCCTTTTCTAAGAGGGGCAGTTAGAAGTTTGGGGTTTTATCTTGGAAGGTACCTTATACATCACACCTGGAAAGAGAGGCTGCCCACAGAACACAGCTCCCTCTTCCTAGGGTTCACCTCCAAGGACGTAGAATTTCTGGGCATAATATTTTATATTCCAGAGCATTATTCATACTTGGGACTTATTTATATTAATAGAAATACTTGATGTTTTTAAGAATCTTAGAAATTATCATAGTATTTTGAGACTTTTACAGAAACACTAAAAGGACGGTTTTACAATTTCACTAGGTATCTTACACATCTTGGTTTCTGGATGCCTTCAACTATGCCATCTTAAAGAAGATTGACGTGTTAAACCTCAGCATCGGGGGCCCTGACTTCATGGATCACCCCTTTGTTGACAAGGTCAGTCACATTGGGCACACAGACGCTGCGGTTGGATGGTGGCTCCTGCTCTGTTGCAACCCCAGCTTTGCATCATTTCTAGTATATGCTCCTGGCTTTTGGCCCAGCTGGTGATAGCTTTGCACAGACAAATGGTTAATGACGTGAACTTTAATGACTTATTTAATGTCATACATCCGAGGTTGGAGGCCTTGGAAATAGGTGTTTATAAGGAGCACTTGGTGCCTTGATGCTTTCTCACCTCAGCTTACAACCCTTATTTTCCAAAAATGACAAGAAAGCTAGTGTCTGCCTGTGTTCTGCGCAGTCCTGCTTTCTAGGCCTTGTCCTTCTCTAGACTTGAGCAGTGTCAGACAGACCCACCTGTATCACCCAGTGCTCTTTTTGTTTTGGTTTTGTTTTTTCAGAGATAGGGTCCTGTTCTCCCTCCGGTGGTATATTTTAAGGAGGCTTTCCTTTTTAGGATTATTTTTAAAATTGGGGGTGGTGGTGGGTTCAGCGCTTATAGCTCAGTGAGTAGGGTGCCGGCCACATACACCGAAGCTAGCAGGTTTGAATCTGGCCTGGGTCTGCTAAACAACAGTGACAACTGCAACCAAAAAATAGCTGGGTGTTGTGCAGGTGCCTACAGTCCCAGCTACTCAGGAGGCTGAGGCAAGAGAATCGCTTAAGCCCAAAAGTTGGAGGTTGCTGTGAGCTGTGACACCAAGGCACTCTACCAAGGACAACATAATAAGATTCTGCCTCAAAAAAAAAAAAGAAAAAGAATTTGGGGCGTCAGGGTTGACAATTATATGTGGATTCCTTAAAAGTATTATATTTTCATTAAATAAATGCTTTCTAATTTTGTAGGTATGGGAATTAACGGCTAACAATGTAATCATGGTTTCTGCTATTGGCAACGATGGACCTCTTTATGGGTAAGTGGCCTCAACAGGGGTGAGCTTTAGGGATTGTTTTTCCCTCAAGTAGCTAAAAAGTGTCCATCTGTGCACCTACCTGTTTGCATATGTAGGGCTTGGTATCATGCACGTTTTTATCAAACAAAAAATGGAATGTGTGATGAACCCCCAAGCGCTTACTACTCCCCTCAGCAGTTGTCAAGTCAGTTCAGGTTCAGTCTTCTTTCTGTTCAATTTTTAAAAAACTTGGTTTATAAATAGTAATAGTAATTTTTATTCTATTTTTCCCCAAAAATCAATCAGGAAAGTAAATCTGTTAGAGAGAAATGGGTTCTGCAATATTAACAAGCACAGGGAATGAAGAGGTAAACCTGTGAGATGCCTGCTTCTCTGGGAAAGGTGAGGCGCAGACACAGGAAACTAAAACAAGGGAGGACTTGCTGGGACCTGGCAGAGACCAGACGATGCTGTGGGAGTTGACAAAGGGGCCAGATATGGCATCGGAGAGTGTAGTGGCCCAGCGATGTGTCTTTGTACCAGGCTGCTGTGGGGAACTAGAGCAGCTCGAGATGAGAAACGTTTGCTAATAAACTTTGATTAGAGATCTCAGTCTTCTTTCTACCTGCAGCTCTGAGTTCCTCTGTAGATAATGTGTATAATTTCTTACCGGAGGCTGAGGATGTTCGCTACTCTCCTTTATCGATTACCCAGAATGTGTGCAGTTCGGTACTATGATAAAGGGCTGAAGGTAACCACTGAGGGAAAAGGGAAGATGACAGTGTGTATCCTCAGCTTGTCATTATTGGGTGTAGAGAGAAGTGTGTGAGCTCATGTGTCCCAAACAGGCCTGTCTGTGGCACATGGGCAGTGGCTGTGTGTCATGTTGTGCCCACACAGTACATCTTACTGGGATATCCTAGAAGCTATAGGAAAGCAGGTTGTCTTGAGGATCGGCTGAGCTTGCACAAAGTGTCCCAGGTGTAGCGTGAAGTTATGCTTATGTGTCTCAGAAAACACAAATGTTGGCAGTCACGTGGTTCCAGCCTAGCTGGAACGCTGCGCCCTTGGAGTGGTCCAGTGCTGGATTTTGCTATGGGGTTAGTGATGCATCCTGTGATTTGTAGACTGAAATGGCATAAACATACCCTAGTGTGCACATGGCTGTATCACAACACACACCTTGTCAGGTTTTCTTGTTTTCCCTCCCTGTGTTTCTCCTGCTTCTAGTGTCCCCACTCAGGGCCAGCACTGATCCACTCAAAGTCACCAAGTTGTCAGTGTTTCCCGGCTTGTCTTCCTACCTTTAGCTCTTTCTGCCCCAGCTCTTCCATCGTGATAGAGATATGTGGAAGCAGACAGGTCCCTCCTGCCACTTTCAGGCGGAGGGGACTTCCCTTTTCTGAGCGTCAACTTCTTCACCTGTCACAGGGGCATGAGACCTATCTTTGAGGCAGCTGTAAGGATGAAATTAGGTAGGAGGGAAAGCACTGTGAGTATCAATGCTCTGTGAGTGGTAGCGGCCCTTTTTTCTTCCTTCTCTATTTCTACTGTTAAAACAGACACACCGGCGTTTTCCTAATCAAGAACCTGCAGTGGATGATTATTGTTCAATAGATCAAATTTTTCTTCTTGGTTTCCAGAAGCTAGTCCAGAATTGCAAACTTCTGTAAAGGGTCAGATAATAAATATTTTAGGCTTTGTGGGCCATCGGTCTCCATTGCAGCTACTTGGCCCTGTGCTGTGTGAGATGAGAGCACTGATGGCAGCACCAGAGCGAAGGAGCAGGGCTGTACTCCAACAGCCCAGTGACAGCAGGAACGGGTGCGTTTGCCGACTCCAGCTGCAATCTGTGCCCGGCGTTGTCTTCCACTACTCCAGGCACATTTCCCTCAAATCTGGGCTCCCTCACATCGGCAGTAGAAACTGCGCATCAGGTTCCTCACCCTGTGTTTGCGGCTGGTCCTCGGTTTCACACTTGTGTGGGTGACCGTCTCTTTGAGATGCTGTCCTGACCACTTCATTCTACCCTAGCTGCCCTTCTAAAACCCTGTGGCTTTTGTGAGCAGTTGTACTTGTTTTCCCTATCACGGAGTTGTGAATTGGTAGTATATAGAGGGAAAAAGCCTTAAAGGGACGGTCCTGTCCTCACCTTGTGTGTGTGCTCACGGTGCTCACAGGGACCCGAGTGTCTGGCAGCCATGTCTTGTAGCGATGGGAAATGGCACGTGGTTATTGCTGCCTTGGTGGTGGCAGCTACTATTTCACTGCTTGGGTGTCTGTCAGGACTGCTCCGCTGTTGCTCTTACACCTTGTGGTGCGAAAAGCCTGCAGCTGCAGCTTTCTTCATTCAATGCCAACGGTGGTTTATTCCCTGGTTCTTCATCTCAAGCCTTCGCTTATTTATTAGGGGTTTAAGTATAGTTAATATTACTGGGATTGATAGGTAGAAAGAGGATGGGAAGGTAACATTTTTTTCTTAGCTTCACTGGGAGTTTCTAGGAAACAGTGACTTCTGTTCCTTGAATTCATGGAAATTTGTAAGTTTCTAGTATCAGCTAATGGAAAGTCATCATAAGACCCTCGGGATGACCACCTGGCAGCGTACTGGGGGCCAGTGAGCTGAGGAGACAGTGTCCCTGTTGACTTGGTGTGGTTCGGAACCTTTGGTTAAAAGCACATGCTATAGAACTTCTTGCTATTGAAATCTCTTAAGCCACTTGAAATCTGTTGTAGTTACTGAATTGTCAAAGAGTTCATTTTTTTGGTAGTGGAGCTGTATAATAGATAAAACTTAGAAATGCAGGTTAGTAACTGATGGCTTCATACTTTCAAATAGTCCAACTTCATCTTGACTTTCCGGTTTTGATGTTTTTTTGTCCTTCCTCATTTCACTGTCGTTTCTTTGCAGAGATCTTGTGGGGACTATGTGACTTTTTCCTTGCGTTGTGTGTCTTCTTCTAAGAGGCTGCGGGTACAGGATAGTGATAGTCACCCCCTCAGTTCCCGGGGCGGGGTGGGGGGCAGCACTGCAGAAGCACTATAGCTTCCTGACCGTGACAGATGCAGTTGTGTGGATATGGTTTCTTCCCAGCAAAGTATCTAATCCGGTTGGGGAGGCAAGGTAGAAATACTTGGAACAATTCAAAAGTGATATTAGAATGTGTATGTAATTAGATGGTGAACTGTGGTCAGTTAAGGCTTGTGAAGTTCAAGGCAAGAGGAGCTCTTTAAAGCCTGGAGGAGTGAGGGGGAAACTGAACCTTGAGCTCAGCTCAAGTGTGACACTCTGACAGGGAGAAGAGAGGAAGGGTGTTCCCAGGAGAGGACACAGCTCAAGCTCAGCATTTCAGAGGACGTGGTGTGTCAGTGCTGCGTGAGCCTTCTCACAGAAGAGCCTCAGAAAGTCTTAGGCTTTTATGGGCGTATTTACCCTTATTTGAATTGTTCATTTTAAGTTATGTCTTCTCTTGTTTGTTTGTTTATTGTGTGTGTGTGTCTCTCTCTCAATTTAGCACGCTGAATAACCCTGCTGATCAGATGGATGTGATTGGAGTAGGTGGCATTGACTTTGAAGATAACATTGCTCGCTTTTCTTCAAGAGGAATGACGACCTGGGTACCTTTTCATTATTAATGTCATGTGTCTAACAGGACCATTTGGTTGAGCCTTGGGTGTGTTGTCAGTGCACAGATTAGAAGCATATAAGGCAGACCAGCCCTCTGATACACATTGACAGGCCAGGGCTGTGGGTGCTGGCCCCACCATCAGGACAAGAGCTGCCCCTTGACCTCTGCCCCTTCACTCTGGCTAGCCCAGAGCCACTCATGGAGGGAACTCTGGTGGATTCTAAGAAGTGTTTACTGGTTCTTCTTCTGTTGTATTTCTGAGTAACTCACTTTTTGGGTAAATAGATTCCTGCCCAGTTGTCCTAACTAGTAATATGATGAGCTGCCCTCCTCAGTGGTAGGCAAGATGCCTTTTTGGTTTTGGCCTTAAGAAGTGGGAGAAGATACTGAGAATAGCTTAGTATCAACTCCACTAACACAGAATTAGTTATGTTTAACTGGACGGAATTGAAGTATCCCCACCAAGTTAATAACCCAGCCACTTGGGGTTTAATTATCCTACTAATTCACCTTCCTTTACCTGTCAAGGTTTGATTCAAGCTGAGATGCTGACTGGAGCAGCACTGAGTAGCTGGGGAGAGCACCTGCCCCTGGTGTCTGGGGATGTTTATCTCCTGGTCCTCTGACTTGATGTGTGCCATGCTTGGAGGCCTCGATTAAATCCCCAGAAAGATTCACACTGGGAACACTGTGGGCCTTGTCCAGCCCTGCAGCCCTTAATGACATAGTCTTCCTCTTGAATCTTAGTACCATGGCAGCACCAGCTCCACCAGGTGTCCACACCTAAGGCAGTCAAGAGCCTCCTCCTGGGGTTGACCTGACTGGACGCCATGGTCTGGTGACCCCAGTTAGGTGAAAGTCAGTCCCGGGAGAACGTGCCTGCCAGTCACCTCTGTCTCCCTTTGTGAACACTTCCCTCACCTGTGAGGTGGTGTGCTGTCCTCGGCCTTCCTCAGGAGCTTGTTTTTAATAGTGTCTCGAACGATGTCCCTCAGTTCTGCAGAGCTGCGAGTGTAGATCTGCCCCTCCGTCAGCCATATGTGTGACCCACACGGCTTTTCTGGTTGTCAGGAATGGTTTTCACCTCATGTTGGTAACTTTTTCTGACAGAATACAAGACCGTCTTGTACTTTGAATTCTGCCCTACTTTGTAGGAAGCTTATGAGAGAACTTAGTGAAAAATCTTACCCTAAGTTAGGCATACATACAGTTACCTTGGTTTTCCTAAATGGTTTCTTTTATTTTTGACAATTTTCAATATCCAGTCATATTGTATACTTTTTTCTTTATAAAGAAACATGTTTTTTTCCAGTTTTTAATTTTAATTTTCTAGTTTTTCTAACCTATTTCTAATTTTTAATTTATATAGAGATAAAACATTTCCCAGGTTTTAGTCATGTTGAATCAATGTCCAGCTTCTAGTTTTGCATGCTAGCTAAATTAAAATACTTAGTTTTATTTTTTTTAATATATATTTTTTAATTGCTTTATGCCCTTATATTGTCCTGGTTATTATAAAACATACTAAAAATAGTTCTATTTTCTACTTTACCCTCTAAGCTTGTTTTCTGCTTTGCAGTGAATTTTAGACTAAAACCATAACCCTTCTTCCTGTTCTGGCTTTTCACTCATGACTGCATGTGGTCGCGTAGTAGGGTGTGAACCGTAGAAACTGAGCTGCTCTCATTCACAGGAACTACCAGGAGGCTACGGTCGTGTGAAGCCTGATGTTGTCACCTATGGTGCTGGAGTGCGGGGTTCTGGTGTGAAAGGGGGATGCCGGGCCCTCTCGGGGACCAGTGTTGCCTCTCCAGTGGTCGCAGGTGCTGTCACCTTGTTAGTGAGGTGAGTGTTGCTTGGCAGAGACCACAGGCTCCAGAGTTAGGACGAGAGCACTTGGTGCTGGCCCTGTGGGATGGAGTCTCCCTTCCGCCCTGACTGTCCTGGAGTTTGGACACATGACCTTGCTCGGTGTCTGTTGCTTCACCTCTGCAGTAGAGGTGGGAGTCTCCTCTTTTGTAGTTAGATGCCATGTATGTGAACACACTTTGTAAGCTGACCCATAAATAATAGGGAAAATATCTGTTACTCTTATTTATATGTGTGTTCTGTATTTAAGTGTACTTTTTATGTACTTAGAACTGTGCTTTTTTTT